TTGTAAGAAATCACCAGTTTCTTGAAGTGCCTTATTATGGTTTGAATTTTAAGTGTCCCCCAGAAGTCTCCTGTGTTCCAGGCTTGGTCCCCAGCTGATGATGGTGCTATTGGCAGGCACTGAAACCTGTAAGAGTTGGAGCCTAGTGGAAGAAATGTCATTTGGGGTACACCCTTGAAGGGGATATAGGGACCAGACCTGCTTTTTCTCCCTTATATGTTTTCCAGTCACTACATGATAAGCAGTTTTGCTTCACCAAGTGCTCCTCACCATGATATTTTCTGTCTCTGCAAGCTGCAAAACAATGAATCTAGCCACCCATGGACTGAAAAATCCCCAAATTTCTTCAAGCTGATTTTCTCAGGTGTTTTATCACAGGGACGGAAAGCTGACTGGTACCAACAAGGGGGTATCAGTGCYGTGACCATACCCGACAATGTGGTTCAGAAACCTTTGGAATTGGTTTGAAGAAGGGATTTGGAAAAATTTGGACATGAGGATGAGAGAAAGCCTAGAACTCTGTAAATGGAACTTGAATAGGCAATTCTGGTAGGGTCCCAGAAGGCCAGAATGCTGATAGAAATGTGGACAGTAAAGGCTGTGTTGATCTGTTCATGTTAGAAGGAGTTTGAGAGGCTACTTCTGCAGTACTCTGGCAAACAAGTTGTCTGCATTTTATCCATGCCCTGAGACTTTGAAGCTTAGTTTAAATGAGATGGACTGATTTATCTGGTAGAGGAGATTTCAAAATGGCACAGCATTCAAGCCTGGGTATTGCTGGCTTCTTTTATCCATATTTGCATGATAATCAGGAATAACAAGCTGAGGGGAAAGATTTAAAATACCTGGTGTTTGGCCAGAAAAGGAGTCTGTTTAATAAGAGTACCTTCCTTGGAAACTTTAAAGAGATTAGCACAATTAAAAAACAAAAAAAGTAATGTTCTTGCACTGAAACAATAGGAAAGCTTTCTTGGGGGCATCTCAGGAGTGGGTAACACTCCTGCATGCTCAAAAGTGTGCAAGTATAAACCTTTCATTTGAGAAGGGCATCCTGCTTGCACCGGGCTGCCTAGGGAATTATTTACCCAGGATTCACTTCCCTGTGTTCAGCCATCAAGGCATTCAGATGTCACCGCATCTGTGGACCATGAGGGTCCTAGTTCAGCTCATACAGGTGGCCGACCTTGGCATCATATATACAGTGCTGATTTTATAGGCATACAGAATGTGAAAGTTATAGGGTTATGGTGACTTCCACTGAGATTTCAAAGGAAAACCTTTGAAGACCGGAGTGTGGAAAGATTGGAATCCCTGTGAGCAGTCCCTGACGGGTAATGTGTGGAGGTGAAGCCACTGTGGAGATCTCAGAACATAAAACATCTTGAGGGAAGCTGGAAGCAGTGAGCCAAGCCAGTTTAAGAAAGAAGCTATTGGGGCTGGGCCTGTGACTCAATGGTACAGTGCTTGCCTAGCATGTGYGAGGCACTGGGTTTGATCCTCAGCACCATATAAAAATAAGTAAAATAAAGGTATTATGTCCATCTAYGACTAAAAAATATATTTATAAAAAAGAAAAGAAAAAGAAAGAAAGAGGCTACAGCCAGCATGGCTACCCAAATCGGTGGGGGTTCACATTTCACCAGAAAGATTTTATGTTGGCATTGCTGGGTTTTGTTTTGGTCCTTATTATTTCTGTGCTCCTACATCTTGGAATGTTTACCTTGTGCCACTGCATCTTACAATTGTTCTTTTGACATTTACAGAGGTTCAGAGCTGAGAGTTTTCCCTGAGTCTCAGAGGAGAATCTGGACTTGGACTTTTGAGCAGTGTTGGAACAGTAAAATTTTAGGGGCTGGGAACATAATGTTATGTCCTAGATCTTTTTTTAAAAATATTTTCAGGGTTTTTTTAGTTGAAGTTGGACATAATACCCTTATTTTATTTTTATGTGGTGCTGAGGATCGAACCCACCACCCTGCATGTGCTAGGTAAGCGCTCTACCACTGAGCCACAACCCCAGCCCCTGTCCTGGATCTTAAATGTCCACTAAAGTCTATTTTAAAGGCTTGGTCTCCAGCCAATGGTACTGTTGGGAGCTGGTGAAACTTGTAGGGAAGGTTATAATTGATGGAAGTTAGATCACTGGGGATGTACCTTTGAGGGGATATTGGGAGCCTGGCACCTTTCTCTACTATTGCTTCTGAGATACCACAAGGTGAGCAGCTTTACTACCACACTCTTGAGGCCATGATATTCTGCCTCTGTACAGGTCCAAAAGCAGTGGATCCGGTTGACCATGGACAGAAACTGTAAGGCAAACTAACCTTTGTTCTTTTGAGCTGATTTTCTCTGATGTTCTGTCATAGCTTTGGAAAGCTATCACACGGCTCTATCATTTTACACTCCCATTAGCCATGTAGGAGAGTTCCAGTTGCTCCATATCCTTTAACAGTTGGTGCTGTGATTCTAAATTTTATATCTGCAGTCCCTGCTTTCCAATAGTTTCAGTGCAAATCAAGTTAAATCTGGTAAGGCTCAATGGGTGACAACCATGTACAAGGTCCCAAACTGCATTCTTGGGAACAATAGAATAAAATGCATGTTCTAAATACATTAACAGATGTTTGATCCAAGTAAACAATATCTACTCTTAAGATAAGGGGATTCTTTTTCCTTCTCTGAGATTGTGACCAAAAAGGCATAGATATTACAAAGTGTACCAAGCTAAAAAGAGTTGTGGAGGGAGTGGAAAAGACATTTATTTGTACAGTGGTCCCTCAGTATCCRGGATGGATTGGTTGTAGATACCCGCAAGGATATCCAAATCTGGATATTCTAAGTCCCTCAAATAAAATGGTATAGTATCTATATGTACATTTGTCTTGCATATTTTAAATCATCTCTAGATTTTTTTGATAGCTAATGCAGTAGAAACTATGTGAATAGCTATTACACTGCCCTGTTTAGGGAATAATGACAAAAGGAGTCTCCATGTTAAGTTYAGATAATATTATTATTATTATTTTAGAATAACATAAAATTAATTTATTAGTCTTTTAAAAGAATTCCCTTATTAAGTCATTTTTTAAGATTTTTTTTAAGAATATTTTTGATCTRTGGTTCATTGACTCTGCAGATGAATCAACTGTACTAGACAATTGGGATTAAAAATTATATCTGATACTGGCAAAGTGGAAGCAAGCACTGAGCTCAGAAAACCAGTGTTAAAACAGTGACTCAGCATATGAAAGCAGGTAAAACAGCAACTTTTTAAGCTAGGAACTGGAGGTCTCAGGTTAGTCATCTCTATCAGGAACCAACATCTTCTCTGGTGGCCTATGAATCTTAAAAAAAAAAAAAAAAGCCTTTGAGCTATGTGTCTGCATATATAGAAGCAAAATCATGCTTACTGTAGACAATACATGAAGTCATGAAGAAAAGGTAATGGAAAAAATCCTACCACTATGACAACTATGTTCAGAAAGTCACTAGGGGGTAATAYAATATAAAATAATTTTGAATGGGGAGTATTTAAACTTCTGTTCATCACCCAAGTGACCTTTATGTAAGTCTCTTTTATTTCCTGGATTTCAACATCCTTAAACTCATTTAAGACTTTGTTTTGACAACTTATTCATTTGGGTTAGTGCATGGGTTCATGTTTATGATAAAGAAAAATATCATTTTCACATTAAGGAAAACAGATATATCCTGGTACTTTATCTGGATATTGATCACACAGGAACATTATAAGATCTAGATTTATCCCTTATAAGTTGTTAGTTGGCAGCAAAAGGGTGAAAGGTCAAGAAACACTGAGAAGTTTGCGTGTAAATTGCTCAGATTTAGTCTCACTTTCATTAGTTTTTAATGGAGACTTCTCAGCTGTATTATTTCTGTAGTTTAACAGGATATTTAAAATACATGAACTAGACAAAAAATGCTAATAGAACATGTTTGTGTATTTTTAGTAGTCCTATGTTACTCATGCATCATACCAATGCCTTTATATTTAATTTTGTTTGAAATTCAAGACAGTTCTGGGAAGGACAGATAATTCTTAAATTTTATGTATTCTACCATGATACTGGAGCGTAAGTCTGGTGCAGTGTGGGAGAGCATAGCCGGCTGTATCAACAAGATTTGTGTCTCAATGACCCATAATTCAAATAGTTAAATATTTTAAGCTAGGAGTTGGAGAAGTTACAGAGTGAGACTGCTTTATTTTAATTCTCCTCAACAGCCCTCTCAAGATGTGGAAAAGGGTAATAGATCATTCATCATTCTAGATATACCTTAGTGTCTGTTGAGACTTAGAATGTTTGTCTGCAAAAACACTTCAACTTGGTTTTGTCTAGACTTCTTGTTTCCCTGGAGAGTTCCCTTAGGCCTATTCAACCGGACAAGCCTCTGAGTGCACGCCTGTGTCCCCAGGTAGCCAGGACCTACAGCAGGCTTGCTTCTGCCCACACAAACTCCTAGGTCTTTATACATTCTGCAGGGCAAAGACACTGGGCTGGGGTGGTAGCTCAGTGGCAGAGCGCTTGCCTGGCCTGTGTGAAGCACAGGGTTCGATTCTCTGCACTGAGCATAAAGAAAGATCCATTGACAAGTAAAACAACAAAAAAGATACCAAACAACTTGGCAGACAGCTCTAGAAAGGCAATGCTTTGGAATCAGCTTAGGAATAATTTGATTACTCCAAGGAGGCCAGGGGATAAGATGGAAGAAAATTTTTTTCTCATTTTGTCAAAGAATAAGATTTTTTTTCATGATTTTAAGTATGCTGTGAATTATCTTCTCCCCTAAAGATGGCAAGTTTCTAGAGAATTATAATAAGTTTTTATTCACCTTACACAGTGGAATTTAAATATTTTTAAAGTTTAGTCCAAGTCAAGTGATGGGACTTGGCAAAACTGAGGGAAATCCATGTGTCATTGGCAAACAATTCCTTTTGCCTGGTTAACAAATTGAAAAATCCCACCACAGGGGCATCTTACCTATTGGTAATCTTCTTGCTGACTCTCTGTTGGGTCATTTACATTGTCAACCTGACTGTTCATTTCAACTGTAACCAGGAAGGAAAACAAAAAAGTCAAATATTTATGAAGCCCAAATCTCTTAAACACGGTTATGGTTTGGATCTAGTGGTAGGGCCCAGTTAGAAGAAGCAAGTCGTTGGGGGCATGTTTTGTCCCCGGACACTTGCTCGGCTTCCTGGTTACCATTTTACCTTATCTCAGGCACAAAGTAATGGAACCAGCAAACCTCAGACTGAAACCATTTGCCAAAATAAACCTGTAAGTTTATTTTCTCAAGTATTTTGTCATGGCAACAGAAAGCTAGTACAACATTACTGATTTTTTTTTGTCTTATACCTTTGTTTTTTCAGTTTGTTTCTATTCATTCGAGTGTTTGAATCCATCCTTGTATATTTTCATGGGCAGGGAAGGGCATTCACCTATAGTTCTTCACTAAACTGTAGAAGCTGAGCTATCATTTCATACTAGATTTTGGTTTGACAATTTGGGTATATATTACCATCCTTATAGAAATAAATTCAAAGGCCTTAATAGATACCTAAGAAAATAAAGAGAAAACAAAGCAAAACAGATCACTAAGATGCAGAAAATTAAGCAGCTCCCTTCAAAATGGCACTGTCAATAGACCTGTTTGGTTTGCCACATTTTCAATTTCAGAATTCAAAACAGACCCTGCAAGCTTGCCAATGGATGCAGCAGCAAACACTATGGAAAAAAAAAATCTAACCAGATCACACAGCTCTGGAAAAGTATGCTTTCATTTAACTGTGTATTCTATGTAAGCATTTGCATAAAAATAGAGTGTGTAATTACTGCCTTTCTCCTGTAGCTAAAAGCAGTCACTCAGACTTTCCAAGGGTCAGCAGGTTTAATGAGACTGATATTGTTACAGCATCCAAGCACATTCTGTAAGCTGAGACTGGACAGTGGCCAGATAATCTAGCAGTAGAACTCTACTTAAAACCTCAATAGCAACCCATCTGGGCAACCAAACCACAATCTCTGGTAATTGGCTCAGAATACACTGGACTTGGTCAGTGATCATCAGCTTCCATATTTTCTGTACCTGCTTTCAACTTGGAACCAACCAGGGAAAGACCTCTGAATTAAAAACCTAAGATGCCCCACTTTAGGTAACGGTTTCCAGTTTCCTGTACCAACTGCCTCCAAACACAAGTGACAATGACTGACACTCTCGCTATAGTAACCTCTGAATAAGTAACTTCCATTTGTTTCTCATTGAGGTGGTGATTTATTTGTACAAAATCGAACAACCTAAATCTTTTTCTCAGACATGAAAGCTTGAATAAAATAATGTCAGATGCYGGTTTCACACTCCAAAGATGCTTGAAAGGGCATCTATGGTCTCTCATTCAACTCTCCCAAGTTATCACCTGCAAACTGTCCTGGGTTTCTAACAATGTGTAAGCTTATTTCCACGTGTAAACTGATCAGGTGTGGCAACTTTGTCTGTGTAAAGAAAATCATTCCTGCACTGTTCAGCCTGGTAGACAAGGTCACTGGAAGTCTACCCACCACAGTGTGGCAAAGTACAGGATAAAAATAAAAGGGAGCATTTGTTTGCTATTCTCTCTCCCAGTGGACACTTTTAATGTTACTGTGCATGTTAGGTATTTTGGTGACAACAATGAAAAGCTAACAAGAATGAGTTTGAGGAGAAAATGTTTATTTTAGGCTCATGCATGGTTGGCCAACTCCATTGCTCTGGGCCCAAGGTAAGGCATGGCAGAGGACAGCTGCTCCACTCAAGGCAGGCAGGAAGCAGAGCATGCACAAGGAGCCAGGATCAAAATATAGTCTCCAAGGCACACTCCCAGTGACCTACTTCCTCCTGCCACACTCTACTGCCTATAATGGCCACCCACTCAGACCATCCAAGTTATTAATCCATCAAATGGCTTAATCTGTTTAATTATAATGAGGTTATAATCATTTCACTTTGGAACATGGCTACATTGGAGATCATGTCCCTAACATGGGAATGTTTTGGGGGATACGTTAAACCATAACACTATACAAAAGCATTTCATGCTCAAATAAGTAAAAGATATCAGTTTGTATAGAAGAGGTTATAATTAAGGTAGGACTATGTGGGAGACACCTGCAATAAGAAATTTTATTTAAAACTACTTTGGGAAAAATTCAGCCAGTGGTGGCTGAATGACAAAGTAATTTACTTTTCTTTAGCTTAAAAACAAAACACAACACCTCAAAGCAAGATGGTAACTGAGTAAAATCCTTCAGGATGGATATTCATTCAAACACTAAACTGCCTTCACAGGAACTAAGGAAATCAGATGAGAGATGAGACCACAGTGGCTGCTTTTACTTAAACACAATGAAAAAGGCAAGAAGAGTTGCCTGTGGCACCCTCCCCCAAACCTAAGCATTTTCTCATATCCTGAGTACATAACCTGTCAAGGCCAGCACAATGCTAGTAAAGGACTCCCTATTAGACTCCCCAGGTCCTTGAAGGTGGGAGACTCGGGTGCAACCCAGATTTAGCACCTGCATTGGTAACCAAGAGACTCTCCCTACCATCCATCCCCCAATCTTGGTCAACACTGCTATGACCAAGCCAATGCTTACAGAGCTCTGACACTTCCAYGGCACCAGGTAGAGACCTACACTTCAGAAGGATGAGCTCATTTTGAACTGCATTACTGCCAGGTGTGATGTGGACCCTACCCTAATGCACCTGAGACTCTGCATGTCCTTGAAACAGAATCAAGCACAGCTCAGCTTAGCATCAGCCAGGTAGCCAAAGCACTGAATTCACCATTGCTAAGTAGCCTTGCACAGCACAGTGAGATGCAAAATGGCATTTTCTGGGTTGGTGCCAGTTAGTAAGCATAAGATGCTGCCCTGGGACTTAGTGCTGGACTATGGTGATGAAATCTACAAGTGTGCCAGTATACCCAGCCTCTGAAATAGCTCTAGTGCCAAGGGAAGACATATAGCTCCAGTCTATCAGACTTCTATTTACACAATCTTGGGTCACTATGTGATAGGCAGCACATAGTGTGGGCCTTGGACCTCCCCCAGTGTTGTGCTGGTCTTGGCAGACTATATCCTCAGGGTGTGACACAGCTTGGTGGCCACAGGTGTGATAGAGTGGCTGGGGGCTGGTCCATCCATGTTGATACTTCCCAGAGTTGGGCTGAATCATGTAGTGCCCCACCACAGGTTGGCAACTATGAAGAAGGCATCTGAGACTACTTTGGCTGGTAAAGCCTTGTGAGGATACATCACTCTTTCTAGATATTCTAGTTTGTTTCTTTAAAGTATACCAACAGTGTATTTGTGACAAACCTGGGCTTGGATTACTCTCTAGTCCTGAAACAGTGACGACACATGAATAGAAAACTCCTATCAAATCTGAAACTGGGTGAGCTGGCAACTATAGGCTCAGAAAAATATCTGATAGAAACAAACCATCCTGATTAGAACTGAGATGAGCATAAACTGAGATTGGGAAGAACATAATAAATACCCAATCCTTTAATGCCTAGACGATGTCTCATGCCAACAAGAATCAAGAACTTTTCAGGAAACTGTGACCTCACTTAATACTCAAAATAAGGTGTCAGAAACTAACCAGGTAGTAAACAGTATGGGAAATCTCTTAGAAGTTAAAAGAGCTGTTTTAAGGAAACTCGATGGACTTGAAGAGAACATCTCACTACTCAACAGTTTAAAGAGATGTAAGCACTTTTTAAAAAATTCATGAACTATAAAAATTAAAAATAGGATAAAGAAAATAGAAGAAAGTTTAAAGACAAGCTATTTGAAAATACAGTGGGAGGAGAAAAATGGGTTATTGAAAGAGCAAATACTGGGGGTTCAAGAAAGACTTGAGAATGCCAAAAGAGTAGAAAGTTTATTCAAAATTCAATATTACATTTTCCTTATATCCGTCATTGTATTACGTAATAATATGTGGGTGCTCTTAACACCCTTTCCAGTGATGGACAGATCATCTAGACTGAAAATCAACAGTTAAATCACACCCTAGGACAAACGGCCCTAACAGACATCTACAGAACGTTCTGTCCAAGGGCTGCCAAATATTCGTTTTTTTCTCAACAGCACATGGAACATTCTCCAAGACAGATATGATAGGCCACAAAACAAGTTCTCATCATATTGAGTGACTGAAAATTAAAAAAAAATACATGGAAATCAAATAACTTTCAACCAGTGGATCAAGAAAATCAGGAAGGAAATTTTTAAATTTCTTAAATGAAAATGGAGACACAAAATACCCAAACCTGTGGAACTCAGCAAAAGCAGTACTAAGAGGAAACATTAGATCAGTCAATGCTGTCAAAAAAAGTAGAAATTTCTCAAATAACCATTTGTTCTTATTTTCTCAACCCTCAAGATAAGYGAAAAAACCCTCAATATTAGTAGAAAGAAAAAATGATCAGAGTAGAAATAAATGGAGACCAAAATCAAGAGCTGATTCTTTGAAAAGCAACAAAATAGACAAATTATCAGCTAGACTAAGAAAAGAAAAAGACTCATAAACTCAAGACTTTATAGGTAGACATTATATGTAATACCAGAAAAATAAATAAAGAGCATTAGAAATGATGAAATATATGCCAAATTTGATCATGGAAAAATGTTGCAGAACCAATAATAAGTAAAGATTGAATCACTAATTAAAAAACAAAAACAAAAAAACCAGGGCTCCTATCCAGAAAAGCCCAGGACCAGATGGCTTCACTACTCAATTCTACAAAACATTTAAAGAACTAATACCATTTCTCTTTAAGTTATTCCAAAAAAGAGGAAGTAATTCTTTTAAACACAATCTACGAGGCCAGCATTACCCTAATGCCAAAACAGATGAAGATACAACAACAACAAAAGAAGAAAAAAAACCCCACAGGTTAATATCCTTGAAAAACATAGATGTTAAATCCTCAACAAAATCTAGCAAACTGAAAGCAGTGGCACATTAAAGAAATTTTTCACCCCCATCAAGTCCAATATGTGCATATCAAAAAATGTAATACACCATGTCAAAAGAATGAAAGACAAAAACTATAATTTCAATAGATGCAGGAAAGACATTGGATAAAATTCAAAATTCTTTTGTGCTAAAAATGCTGAACAAATTATATAGGCAAGGAACATACCTCAACAAAATAATGACCATTTCGATTAAGCCAATGGCCAACATTATATTGAATGGGAAAATGCTGAGAGCTTTCTATGTAAAATCTGGAACAAGACAAGAATATTCACTTCCATCACTTTCAGTCAAGCAAGAGGAAGAAATGAAGGGTATCCAAATTGGAAAACCCATGAAATTGTCACTGTTTACAGATGACATGATTAAATAAAACATGAAACTCCAAACACACACCCAAAAGCTATTAGAAGTAACTAAGCAACATTTAAGGATATAAAAATCAACATATAAAAATTAGTAGTATTGCTGTTCACCAGCAGCAAATAATCTGAGATAGAAAGCAATCCCATTTATAATAGCTATAGAAATAAAATACCTAGGAACAAATTTAACCAAATAGGTGAAAGATATATACAATGAAAAAGAATCTAAAAATATTGATGAAAGTAATTGAAGAGGACACCAAAAAGTAGAAAGACATTCTGTATTCATGGATTAGAAGAAACAATATTGTTAAAATGTCCATACTACCCCAAGTGGTTTTAAGATTCATTTTAATCACTTGTTAAAATATCAACGATGTTCCTCACAGAATGAGAAACAATTATATGGAGACACTAAAGTCCCCAAATAACTAAATCTATCCTGAGCAAAAGGATCAAAGTAGAAGGTACTATACTACCCGATATAAAAACACACCACAACACAGTTGTAAATCAAAATAGCGTGGTTTGGGCATAAAAACAGACTCGCAGAACAATGAAATAGACTAGAGAGCCCAGAAGTAAGGTATCCACATACCCACAGCCAACTGATTTTTGATAAATGTGCTAAGAAATGYATTGCACAGAAGGATAGCCTTTTTAATAAATGCTGCTGGGGAAATTGGATATCCACATGCAGAAGAAGAAAATCATACCTGTTACCAGCTACACAAATCATTTGAAAATGTAACAGTGTAGAGACAGCCTGCAGATAGGCAAAAATATTTACAAAGTATAGATCTGACAAAGGATTGCTATCTACAATATAGAAGGAACTCCAAAAACTCAACAGCAAAACAACTGATGAGAAATGGGCACTAGGTATAAATGGACATTTCTCAAAAGAAGACACACATGGCCAACAGATATACGAAAAATGTTCAATATCGTTAATAATCAGGAAAATGCAAATAAAAACCACAATGAGATATCACCTCACCCTAGTAAGAATAGATGTTATCTAAAGGATAAAAATTTCTGGAGAGGATGTGGAGAAGAGGAAACCTCTGCACAATGTTGGTGGGAATATAAATTAGTATAGCCATTATGAAAACCAGTACAGAAGTTCCTAAAATATTTTAAGATAGAACTACCATATGATCCAGCAATCCCACTACTGGGTATATATTCAAAGGAAATGAAATTTGTATGTTAAAGAGACATCTTTGGGCTGGGGCTATAGCTTAGTGACAGAGTGTTGGCCTAGCTGGTATGAGGCACTGGATTCAATCCTCAGCACCACATAAAAATAAACAAAGGCATTCTGTCCATCTATAATGACCAAAAAAAATTTTTAAAAAGGAGACATCTGTACTTTCATGTTCATTACAACACTATTTACAACAGCTAAGAAATAGAAGTGTCCATCATCTGATGAAAATGCGATATGTGTACATAACAGGATACTACTCAGCCATAAAAAAGAATGAAACCCTGTCATTTGTGACACCGTGTATAAAATGGAGACCATTACATCAAAGTGAAATAAGCCAGGAACAGAAAGACAAGTTCCACATGATCTCACTCATGTGGAATCTAAACAAGTTATCTCAGAGGAATTGAGAGTGGAATGGTGGGCCGTAGGGGTGTATCTGGGCTCAGAATCTTTAGATGTGATTGGGGTTTGGATGTGACATGTCCCCCCAGTGACACATGCATTGGTCCCCAAGGTAGCAATGTTTAGAGGTGAACATTTTGGAAAGCGATTGAATCATGAAGGTTATTCTCATCAGTGGAGTAATCCATCCATAGCTGAATGGACTACTGGGAGGTGGCGGAAACTACAGGGAGATGGGGCACTGTTGGAGGAAGTAGGCTATTGGGGGCATGCCCCTTAGGGACTATATTTTGTACAGATCTCTTCCTTTCACTTTGTTTTCCAGCTGCCATGAGCTGAACAGCATTCCTTCATGATGCGTTTCTGCCAGGATGCTCTTCCTTACCTTGGGCCCAAAGCAATGGAACCAGCCAGCCAAGGACTAAAACCTCTGAAACCATGACCAAAATAAATCTTTCCTCCTCGAGGTTGCTCATCTCAGGTGTTTGTCGCAGTGACAAAATACGGATCAACACAGATGCCTTCAAAACTACGTGCGAATAAAGGATGGTTTTTGTAAATTTTTAAGGTGCCCTTAAAGAGTCACTGTGTTTTTGGCAAAGGAATCTGTTGTGATATAGTGAGTTTAACAGGGATGGTCCAAGAGCTCATCTGGATCAGCTCAAGGGCTCATCTGGATGCCAAGTGAGGCCTGGGTAACTACAAAGCAAGCACCTTCKACAGAAGTGAGTGATGTTTCCATGAAGGACCGGGTCCAGCTGTGGCATTACCCACTGGTGGCCTCAGTATTGCAAGGTATGTTTAAACCAAGTCATGTGCTGTTGTAAAACAGTTAGTGGTAAAAAGAAAAAAGGGGGCTGCCATTATTTYTTATTATTCTCTAGTAATATATGGCTTTTGAAATTTACTTTGTTCTCATTGAATATGTTGATTCATAGAACAGAGAGCTCCCTTAATCCCAGATCACACAGAAAACATACCACATGTATAATCTGAGCTCAGAAAGCTCAGAAACTTACCATCAGGACCTGTAGTGTTTTCTGAGTCACTGGAGCCTTGACTTTTCACAGACTCTGTAGGTGTGTCCGCGCCTTGAACTGAAAGAGGGGAATAAGATAGTCCCTGATTAATAGAGAACTATAACAGCCTGACTGCCAATTGTTCTGTCACCCTCCATTGCCCTCTTAAGTTTAAAAATACTCCTGGGATTCAACTTCTTTTTCAGAGAAGGTTAAAGGAGGAAATAGTGGGTTGAGTTGCTAGAATACTTTAAAGCCATCTTCCAAGTTCTTTTTAATTTGTGAGAGAATCGTAAACATACAGACACACAATTTATTAAATCAGAAATCGGATAGCATCAAAGAAAAAAAAAGTGGTTTAATCAGCACAATGTTCAATTTAAATTTAGGATACTCTCTATGTGTGCATCATTTAACCTTTGATTAGAAAGAAAAACAAAACAAAACAAAACAAAAAAACCCAAAAGCCTCTTTTGCCTTAGGCATGCCTGAAAACTGAAGACTTCTTTCTCCTGACACTGAAGGATTTTCACTGTTGTTGTTATTGTTCCAACAAATAAATGACTTATTGCCTCCCTAGGAGACCTTAGCTGTTGCCATTGTGGATTGTGGAGTATCCAATCAGAAGTTCTGATCATTCTCTATCAACTTCAAAAGTATGTCATCCATTTACTGTGCCARAGATATAGCCGTTCTTAGAAGTGACAGGGTGTGTTTTAATATTATGAAGATTTTTCCATATATTCAAAAGGACAATTGTCTCTTACTTTTTAGTTAACAATATCTATCATGTTTTCCTAACTTAAAGAATAAGTATATTGGAAAATACAGATAGAAGTAAAACCCTAGAAAAATAGTTACTTTACATTATTATTATTTTCATACTTCTTTTAAACAGAAGGTTAAATTCATTTTCATTATGTAAATACAAGAGCAGAGATAATGTTAAATGTGGTGTGCCTGCTGGTGAGAATGATGCAAGGATGGGAAAGATCCAGTTTATAACCTTTTCAATCTTTTCATTATGGAAAATATGTGCTCTTGGTAATGAGTAACTAGAGCTCACAGTCAAGAGGTTTGACTCAAAAGTGACTGAGCTCCTTGCTCAGGTGGATGGATGGTAGGGAGGTCAGAAATTGAAGACAAAATAGCTGCTCAGTGGGAAAAGACAAAGAAAATAATTTTAGATTTGAGGTCTAAAGTCAAAGATGATTTAAGTGGAGATGCCCAATAGATTTTTTACATTGAGTGTAAAGGAAACTGTGAAGTAAACATATATGYATTCAGAGACATAGAATAGAGTAACATCAACAATATGAGATTATATAAATCAAGAAAATGATAATATGAGAAAGAGAATATAACTCCTAAAGCCCTTGAAGGATTACATGAAAATAGCTGTCCATGAGTTCTTTCCATTTAGTCCCTGAGGATGAGGTTGGGAAAAGGAAAACAAAACTTAAAACATCCAGCTGAACTTGTTAACACTAGAATTGGCATCAACACACCCTTTTACACATAATTACAGAATATACTGATAGATATAGATATATACTGATAGATATAGGCTGTGCTATATCTGACTAAAAACATAGAAGTAATAAGGGAAAAATGGGAATATTTTTTTTCATAAAAGTAATAAGTTTTTTTTTTTTTTTTGGTAGGGGTAGGGAGGTAGCAGGGATTTGAACTCAGGGGCACTCGACCATTGAGCCACATCCCCAGCCCTTTTTGTATTTTATTTAGAGACAGGGTCTCATTGATTGAATTGTTTAGCACCTTGCTTTTTTGCTGAGGCTGGCTTTGAACTTGAGATCCTCCTGTCCCAGCCTCCCAAGCCACTGGGTTTACAGGCAAGCACCACCGAGCCCTGCCATAATAAGCTTTTGGATGCAAAAATACCACAAGGAATATTTTTTAAGTTACAAATTAAATATTGATATTTGTGTTTTATCAGAGGCAAGGGGTTAATAATAGCAACAATATGAGCTTCTAAAAATAGAAACAAACTAATAGGAAAATGTGCAAGAGGCTTGATAGGCAATTCATAAAAGAAGTAATAATGTAAACATGTAAACATGTGAAAAGATGATTCCCTTTGCTAACAGTGAATGAAATGCAAATTAGAATTACAGTGAGAAAGATTTCTGCTTAAGGTTGACTGTCATGTTTCAGAATAACCCTCTTACCGTGAAAAGCTAGAAATGCTGGACAGATTATTAAAAACAATTCTTTTAAGGCACCAGAGAGCCATAAATACAGAACAAACTCAAAGAGATGCAAAGGGTAGCTGACATTCTACCTATGTCAACAAACTGAAGACAGCTTCCAAATGTTTTTGAGGTTTAGGGGAGGCAAAAATTAAAGACCAGGGCCCACCAACAAAGAGGTACTCTGGTAAGTAAGAAAACAAAACAAAAACAAAAACTTCAAGCCTCAAGTTATGCCTATGGTTTTTCAAACAAAATGTCCTGCATCAATAAAAAAAATACCTGGCATTTTTGAACAAGAACAAATCACTGAAAACTGAGAATAAAAAGACAACATATAGACACATATCAGACATTCAGATTTTTAGACACAACTAAAATAAGATTAATGTGTATAAGAAACTGRATGCCAAATTGAAAAATTTTAATAGCAAAGAAGTTTATCAGAGAACTGGGCCCTATTCATGTCAGAAGAAAATTCTAGAACTGAAAAACATATCATTTAATAGGGGGATTTGATAGTAGGTAGACACAGTTGAAGAGGGGATTAGGAAACTGAAAGATAATGCAAAGCCTAAAATACAGGTAAAAAACAGACATAAGAAATAGGATTTATCCTTTGTGTAATGGGTCAAATGCAGTATTTTAAGAGATAATGACAAAATTAATGGATGATGTAACATCAGATCACTGTTTCAAGGGTGTTATAACACTAAGCAAAATTAACACAAAACAAACCTCACTTGGGCAAATCATCATAAAAATTGTTGAAAACCAAGGGTGAAATTCAAATTATCTAGTGAAAAATACTCATTAACTTTAAAATAGCAACATAAGGGTTGTTGATAATTTTGTAACAAAATAATGGAATTCAGAGACAATACAATAGAATATTTTAAGTACTAAAAGAAATTAAAACTCTATAACTTCCCCCCACCAAAAACAAACAAACAAAAACAAAAAACTCATCAAATTTGAATTTGAAATAAAGAAAAAAATATTTCAGGAAAAAAGAAAACTTATCAGTAGATTTACACCGAAGGAATAATTTCCACTACTCAAAAATAAGTTCCAGGTAGACTTAAGAACTAATTGTAAATGTAACATAGATAAAGATCTGTGCATCATTAGACAAACATTTCTTTTCAGAACAAAAAAAAAAAAAACACTAACCATTAAGGAAAACTCTGGCAACCTGTAAAACATTAAAATTAGCAATCTTAAATTCATCAAAATGCAACATAAGAAAGTGCAATGGCCTCTTTCACAGAATACCTAAAGAAATAAATATAACATAAAAAGAGAGTACCCAATTGAAAATGAGCAAGACACAGATAGATATACAGGCATATTTCTAAAGAGGATATTTTGGCTCTTCACTGGATTTTTTAAAATGACTTCTACCAAATCTCAGAGCATGTTAAAGCCTTCACTTTTTTTTTAACTAGCAAAATAACTATATATTTTTTGACTCCTTACTTCTATAGGATGCCATCAGAATTAAAACATTGTTACTTTTTATAAGAAATGATTACTATGGAAGGAAAATTAATAAGCYTAATTCTACTTAAATATGACTTCCTTGACTTTCTTCTTAGGGTCCTTGTTTTTGATGGGATCAAGAGGAACCTGTGGCTAATTTATTTAGAAAATCCTTCAATCAATGGAGAAACCCCTTTGGCAGCATGGAGAACTTTCTATCAAATAGRCAGGATGTCAGTTTATTACAGGATACTCAGTGAAAAGGAAGAATGATAAACACTTTTAAAAGCGAAGAGGAAGGGAAAAGTTAGGAGAAACAAAGAAAAAAAATCCAAAAGGCAATCAGAAAACATTAAATTCTTAAAATGCTTGCCCTATGCCTGTCCTTTTAACCTCATTATTTTCCAATGGAATGTGTGAGAAGTCTAAGGTTTTGCACTGTGATGAAACATAATTAACATGAGATGCAGTGGCAAGTATGAGATCCAAAACAAAGAGAAGAGCAGAAATCAAAGTTGTAGCTCTACCTACTACTACATTCCCAAAGCAGAGTGAAGCAGTGTCTATTAGATCCACTTTCAACTCMAGGTCTGTCTGTAGGTATTTTTTATTTTATATCTTACATGTGCAATATGTGTACACGTGCCATGAATATGTGCATTGGCATGCTGTGTAAATTTGCATAGCCATATGTATATGTGCACAAGTGTGGTTGTGTATTTGAAAAAAGGGAGAATGAGAGACATTTGTTTTTCTGACATGCATGTGGAACGGGTATTACCCTAACCGGCTACTCTCCTGCTGGGCTATGCAACTGAGTGCCCCAGAGAAATGAGTCCATTTGGCATRGACAACAGAATCTGATCAAAACAAAAACTGCCTCGATAGCCTATTTATTTCAGTTTGCCTGACCCTCCCCCCATTTTGATTGCTACTGCTTGGAACACAAACAATTTCRGAGTTCCTAGCAGGAGATAAAAGATGCTAAAATTGAGCTTGGAACATTTAATACCATTTTATTACTTCTCAAACCTTTGATTATAACAACCTTTAGTAGGTCAGTGACATTGCAATAAATGAAGCAGGTCTTTCCACAAGATACCAAGATGTATACAAAATGCAGGTAGCCAGATTTTAAAATATGTAAGCACAGAAAGATATCAAAGGATCCTTTAAGATGTTCTGAGATTTGTATTGATGGTTAACWCCATACATCAAATAGAATTGCAAATAATTATTTCTCAGAATGCAGTTGTACTGGTGAAATGATGGGTGTGGTGCTTAGGGCTTGTGTTCAGATTTCACTATTACTGTAATTAGTATTAKTATTCAGGAAGGTTCACTTCCAATCTGCAACCCTCAGGGAAGTCTACTCCACTGTCCCTT